AAAAGGGCTTGTTTTTATTTAGGAACCTTTTAAAAAAAAAAAAAAAAAAAAAGAAAAAAGAAAAGAAGAAAGCTAAATGGAAATTATCACTGGACTTTTTTTTTGCTTGAGAACTTGTTGCTAGTAGTGTGATTGGGGGGGTGCTTATTTGGGGGGGGTCCTATCCATGGCAAAAACTGGTAGACACCTAATTATGTTGAAACAATTGCTGTTCTTCCAAGCCAAAGTAGCAATTATTTTCTACTTTTTTATATAAAAATATATTTTGAATAAATTCTCTGATACAGACAGTAAAAGGCACTTAAAAGGTCTGTGTTAGACTCCCAAGTAATTAGCTATGCCTTGGTTTTAGAGAACTGTTTGCCCAAATGTTGGTGTATTTAGGATTTTAATAATTTTTGTCTTCTATGATCATGCTTCCAAGAGGTGCTGCAAGACTACTTCTTTCTATATAGATTTATTTATGAAAATGGGTGATTTGTAATATTGCTGCTTGCTTTTTTTTTTTAGACACATGCATCTTTAATAGAATGAGGCTACTGATTTTTAACCTCAAGCTGTTATCTCAAAATTCAAAGTTTCTTCCTCGAATATATTGTATAGTTCCTCAGGTGAAAACTTCTTTTCACTGACTTAAATGAGAAGGGTTATTTTGCCTGAGGACTGCAAGTTTTGTCTCTGATTCTTTCAGAGTGGGTTTGATTCCAGGTCTATTTACGAGTAAATGTTTTTTTTGTTTGTTTGTTTGGTTGGGTTTTTTTTGGTTTTGTTTGCAGGGTTTTCCTGACACTGTGTAAAAATGAAAGTGATTTGGTTTTAATGTGAAAAGAAATTTTTTTATTTATTTATTTTTTTTTTTAATCCAGGAAATACTGGTTTGTGACTCTTCAAATCCACTGGCAAAGAACAGGGACCCCACTCAGCTGTATGCTAGAGAGGGTAATCCTGGAATTTTGAGATTTATTGTATCAGATTCAGCTGATGGAAGTCGTGCCTTTTTTATACCTGGTTTAAATTTAGTCCATTACACCTAGCCCCTTTTTTCCCAGATATCTCAATGCGCTTTATAAATAAGGTCCTAATTTTGCAAAGATTTCCTGTCAAATGTGGTGTTTATTCCCATTCACTTCAGTGAATGGGACTAGTTTCTTGGAACCACACTTGATAGGCTAGATCAAAAGTGCAGTTTATATTCAGAAGTGATGTCAAAAGAGGAGTACTATAGTTATCTTAAACAGTCTTGGATCCAGTATACTTTTGTTAATTAGCAAGAAAAAAAAAAACCTTCCCAAATGCCATCCCTCACAATCTTTTCCTGGACTCTGAAAGTTGAATTGGATTCATTCTGGTTCTGATGTTGCTGGCTTGTAGTCTTTGTAGCCGAAATAAAATGAATGATTTTGTTTATGACCAGAATCCTTCCAGTTGTGCCACGGCTGTGCCATCCTACAGTGCTGACGGGATTAAATTGGTAAACATTTACCTCAGTTGTTGGAGCAGCACTCTAAAACAGTTATGCAAGTTGTAGCAGCCTAGGCCTAAACTCTAGTCCAGTGATTCTCAACCAGAGCGACGGGACAGAAATACAGGCTACGAATCTTCCCTGCCTGGTTCTGGAGGGGAACCCTGAGTCTAATGAGAGGTGTCTTGAGTCTGTCAAGGATGCCTGAAATCAAAAAAAAGTTGAGCCACTGATCTAGCTTCCCATCCTCTAGTAAGATTGTTGACAGTACTAAAGCTAACAATATCTACCTTTTCCTGGGGAAACTAGCTTTTTCCAGAGCCATTGTAAATCAAGCCAGCCTGAATTATTTGCACTAGCGTACAAAACAGAATCAAAGGGCCACTATCAAGTCTGGACATACTTCCCCTTGAAAATGTTGTGTCCACAATTGCAACTCGTAAAATGATTGTGAATGAGAAGTTAGCACTCTTTTCCCCAGCTCATTCCATGTAATCACTTTCACTGTTTGCCTGGACAAGTAGTCTGTATGTTGCAGGTCTTTCATACAGCAGTAGAGGAAAATGGGGAGCTACAAGTAACACTGTCCTTTTAAGTGAATGTCATTATGACCATATGTTTTCTGACTATAACTGCACTTTTAAACACAGCTCTTGTGTTTCTTCCATTTGACAACTGGGTAAATGGCGCAGTTGTCTTGTGCAGCCATGCACCCGAGTGGCAGGCAAACAAAAGGCTGGAACTTATATTGCCAAGTGTGTACTCTAAACATTAGAGCACACCATTTTGGTTTTATTCCTTATTTATACTAATGGTATTAAGCATTTACCTCAGACACTTTAAACATCAGTTACTGTATACAGCTTTTACTTGGCTATAAATGACTTTATTATAATTAAATAAAAATATACTTGGTCAGCATGGTTATTTTATCTTGTCAAGGTGCCAGACAATGTACACCTTCAGTACTTGCTGTAACCCCAGCTTCCTGTGGATGTCCTCTTAAACATGTTCAGTGTTTAGTCATTCAGAGCGTCGGATACCAGGTTCTCTCTAGTCTTCTAGACAAAGGCATAATCCTTTCTGGCTGCTAGTAAGCATAACAAGCTTAATATAGTCTCATGTTTCCTAATTCTGACACTGCTTGTTTCTTGGGATGAAGAGTTATGTTGGTATTATTCTCTATTGAGTGTCTGAAAAAGAAGACCCTTACTCAATTGAGAGCCAGGAAAGGTTAAAAGAACGGTAAACAAAGTGATCAATATTTGGAAGTGTGGTGTAAACAGATAATCTCATGATATGGTCCCTGACTCATAACACTGGCTCTTGCTGACTGGTTGCAGTGCCACATGCAAGTAGTGTGCTCTGGTACATACCACCAACACATACAAAACCTAGTGGCAGTCTGCTAACCAATATAAAAATGAAGCTACTGGTGTGGCTCCACTGCCTTCAAAGTAGCAATCCTACTTGAAAGTTACAACTTACTGGGCGTGTCTACACATCACCGTATTTTAGTACTTCCTTTTGGAAGTACTAAAACACGGCACAGTAACTGCCCATACTGCACCTGTACAGGCGGCATACGTGAAGATTTCCCTACTACATTGCCATAGTGGTGCGCTATAAGCAGAGACTGTGCTGCTACAGCAACATAACCATTGTGGGTAGACTCGCATGAACATTATGTCTCTGTAGGGCGGCATAGTGCATCACTATATTGCCATACAGCAACATGTAGACACACACACTGAAGACCAGAAGGATGTGATGATAGACCTGCTGCTAAAATCGGCAGTGGTGAGTTTTGGTCACAGTAGTTAAATTCTCTCATCCTTATTTGTATTATATGTAGAGAGAAAGATGCAATCTTATATTGATGGTGGTGGGGGGAAAGACTTAGAACTTGGTTTGTTCCAGTGCCCATTTTGGTTTGTTGCAACATCCATTCCCAGATCTGTCGGCCCTGCTTGACATTTGTGTGAAGCTTAGCTTCTGCGTGCAATGGTGGGTTCTACCGTAAGTGTCGTTATGGGAGGTGAGAGGGGTGTGGGGAAGAGGTGCGAGAGAGGGCATTTCAGTTTTTTTCTAATCTTCCAGTTTGCTACAGCATGTTGGAGAAATCCTGCCTCCCATCTCCTGTGCAAGTGGGAAAAGGCCCTGAAAAGAAATAACTTGTACTGAACTAAGACATTGTGCCCATCTCCCCCAGCTGTTCAATGAAAAAGTTCACACTCTGCAGAAGTGAGTATGGTCATGTGACCAGTGCAGCTGGATGTCACAATCTGGCTAGACTGCAGAACTGAAGCTAAATCAGAGGGCAGAGTAAATAGATGATGCAAGTGTGGCTCTATAGGCTGTGCAGAGAACTCTAACTCCAACTTACCTTGTTCATCCACAAAAAGCTTATTCACTGGGGCTTAAATGAGAAATACTCAAAGGTGCAAAGGCTTAGTCATTGCATTCAAGCTCAGCTCAAAAAAAAGTATCCTGTAAGATAGTGGGGTGTTTTTAAAAAGAAACCAGCACTGTTGGGTCAATTCTATTCAATTAACTGGACATGGAGAGTAGGGATAGCACTTGGTGCTCTTGCTTTAGGGTTAGCTGTTCCACTGAAGACTAACTTCATGCCACTATGGTGCAGGAGTCCTGAGTCAGGCTGCAAACCAGACTCGTGTTTGTTTAGTTAGTATATAATCCAGCAAAAAAATGATTCTTATATTATCAAGTTCCAGGAAAGCTACCAGGAGTTCGTAAGCTGATTTTTAAATGCAACAACTACCATCATGGAACTATGCTGGGAAGAAATTCAGGCTGCTGTAACTGCTTTCTTCTGCGGCCACCAGTAGACATGGTCTTGTTCTGCAATACCAGGCTGACAACTGTCAGCTATGTCTCCGGCTGATGAGTATGCAATGCTGGCATCTGCGCATCCCTTATTTAACACTAGGACTAAGTTAACTTAGTGTTTGTGACTTGAAGAACAGAAAATAGGCATCTTCCAAGATTCTGCCGTGACTCAAATTCTTGCGACTGGAAGACAGTGTAAAGGGCATGTGCTTGGCTTTCAGTCTATTTGACTATATTGTATGGCATTAAAACAGCCTAGAAGTTGGTTTCCTGTTTCAAAAGAGACCCACTGACTTCAGTATATTTGTGGGCAGGATTATTTCTTCCTACAAGGTCTCTTCAGCTTCCAAACTCCCAAGCAAAATAGTTCATTTGGAAATATGAATACAGAAAGAAGTCCACACGGACAGTTTGGAGGTGCTAGCAAAGTGTTTGGAAACAGAGTGAGCTTGCAGATCTCTCTGCTTTACAGAACACAGCCCAATATGCTGCTATACAGACCTAGGACAATGTTCCAAATGAGGAAACCAAGGACTGCATTCTCATCTCCCAGCATCCGTTTGATCTTCTTGGCTGTCATCAAACATTGCCCAGACCTCTTCTAAAACACCATCTGGATTAGCCAATTCAATCTAAATTAAAACACAAGTGAATTATGCTATATAATTAAAGAAAAGTCAGTTTTTGTAAATGCTGATTACTTGAGAGCTACTGGAGAATATCCCTTTTAGTAGGAATTCAGTTTATCCTGCAGTGTTTCCAAACAGTACTTACACTTCCCTGCTTTTATCAGGATACCCAGTGTCTATTTCTCTCTCCTTTCCCTCTCTGTAGAGAACATGAGTGCTGTTGGCAAGTACACAGTATTAGCCAAAGTGTAACCAAGTCTTGCCTCAGTGGTTTGAATGGTGGGTACTACTAGGTACTGATATCTTGGGGGTTTTTCTCCTCTCTGATGTGCTAGGTGGCTGCAGTCAACCAATGAGTGCAGTTGTACTAAAGCAGACTAGAGGTCCCCCTAATCTAGTAACCTGTTGGTGGTGCTGAGCAGGATGGATGCTGCTTCAGACTGAAGGTAGCTGTGGTAACTATATAATACCTAATGATTGTACAGTTTCCTCCTGAATTCATTCATAGCGACAATAGATTCCATATGGACTTGGAGAAATAAATGTTACCCAGCTGTATGCTTTAAAACCTAATGGGAAGCAGTTACCTTTGGGATTGGATACCAAGTAGGAGCTGGAGCTGCTTCCCTGCCACAATCAATCATAGTGCCAGACTTTGGCACATCTGCAACCCAGAAACCTTCAAACAACTGTCCTTTGTCCAAGTAGAAAAACTTTCCTGGACCATGTTTCTTTCCATCTTTCCAGGTTCCTTCATACCGATTTTCATTTGCTATAATGATGCAATAAAGAAAGGGAACAGATAATGAAACAGGCATGCTTTCACCAGGTGACCAGAGGTGAAACAAAACATAACATAACCTGGATAAACTACCGTTAATGTAAGTCTTTATTCTAGCTCCACTTACAGGAGTAACTTGAAGAGACAGAGTATTGCATAGCAAAGTTCACAATAAAGCAGAGTTAGCAACCCTGTCTTAAAATACAGCAAACTTGCACAGCTACTTACATTGGACTCTTGTTCCTTCAGACCTGTTAAGTCAGAAATAGCAGGTGACCTTTGTGTCCAATGAACGTAACCTGAATTTCAAATATGACTTTCAAGTAACTTTTATGAATGACCTACAGACCAGGATATTCATGTGCCTATGTAGTGCCAAGAAATGTGCCCAGTCCTAGTATGCCATATGGACAAGTGGTACCTCTTTATATGCATTTTGGCTGTATATTTAATAATATGACCATGATTGACAAGAAGCACTTCTATAGGATACAGAGTTACAAGGAAATGAGGATCCTACTTGGGTCAAAAAGTAGCCACAACTTAAGGCTTTGCTTCTGAGGGAGGGTGGAATCATAGAAAAATAGGGTGGGAATGGAGTTCATCTAGTCTAACCCCCTGCTCTAAGCAGGACCAGCCCCAACCAGATGATCCCAGCCAAGGCTTTGTCCAGCTGGGTCTTAAAAACCTCCAAAGGTGGAGATGCCACCGCCTCTGGGGAGCCTGGTCTAGTGCTTTACCACCCTCCTCATTAAAAAGTTTTTCCTAATATCCAACCTAAATTTCCCTTGGTGCAACTTGAGCCCATTGCTCCTTGTCCTGTCATCTGCCCCCACTGAGAACAGTCCAGCTCCATCCTCTTTGCAACCTGCAGGGAGTTGAAGGCTGCTATTCAATCCCCCTCAGTCTCCTCCATACTAAATCAGCCCAGTTCCCTCAGCCTCTCCTAGTAAGTCCTGTCCCCTAGCCCCACAACCATTTTCCTTGCCCTCTGCTGAACTTTTTCCAATGTGTCCACATTCTTTCTGCAGTGGGGGGCCCACAACTGGACACGAGACTCCAGATGTGGCCTCCCCAGTGCCGAATAGAGGGGAAGAATCACTTCCCTCCATCTGCTGACGGTGCTCCTGCTAATGCAGTCCAGGATGCTGTTAGCCTTCTTCACAACAAGGGCACACTGCTGGCTCCTGTTTGGCTTCTTGTCCCCTGCCACCCCCAGGCCCTTTTCTGCAGAGCAGCTGCCCAGCCAGTCAGCCCCCAGCCTGAACTGGTGCATGGGATTGTTGTGTCCCAAGCGCAGGACTTTGCACTTATCCTTATTAAATCTCATGAGATTTCTTAAGGTCTCTAAATCTTAACCCTACCCTCCAACATATCTGCTATCCCCCCCCCCCCCGCTGGGTGCCATCTCCAACTTTGGAAAGGGGCCCCTCCCTCCCATTT